TTACTTTTTAGGGAGTAACGCAATATTGTAATGCATTACTTTTAAAAGTAACTTTCCCCAACACTGCTTACTAGCCTATATTATTTTAATGCATTATCTTAATTTTGAGCACACTGGTTTGTAGTGCAAACAGTTTTACTGTTTACTGCACGTTGTTATTCTTCTCGTTATTTCCCTATAGCGGCTAATGAACCGGAAGTCTTGCCCATAGGCTTACTTCTGCGTTGAAGAAAAAGGTGGACAGATAAAAATATTAAAGGGGTCATATGACGCTGCTAAAAATAACATTATTTTGTGTATTTGGTGTAATGAGATGTGTTTATGCGGTTTAAGGTTCAAAAAACACATTATTTTCCACATACTGTACATTATTGTTTCTCCTCTATGCCTTATTTTAATGCATTATCTTAATTTTGAGCACACTGGTTTGTAGTGCAAACAGTTTTACTGTTTACTGCACGTTGTTATTCTTCTCGTTATTTCCCTATAGCGGCTAATGAACCGGAAGTCTTGCCCATAGGCTTACTTCTGCGTTGAAGAAAAAGGTAGATAACACGCGGTGTTGGCTCTCGTCTAGGGGGCAGTGCCCCCCCCCCCCAAACTCCGCCTATGCCCACCATAAGAAATGGTCATAAGAAATTAGCTCAATTTATTTACATTTATTTATTGAATAACCTTAGACATCGCCAAAGATTTCCCTGATTCCATTTGCCTAGAAGCAAAATCATCAAGTGTTCTTAAAACAAGAAAAAGAGAATAGAAAATTATCGCTTTTTAAAAATGTCATTGAAAGCCTTGAAGGGAGACAACCTCTTATCTGGAACTTCTGGAGACAATACAGCTATTCTGTCTAGTTACAGAGAAGAGTTTTAATAAAATAAAATAAAACAAGATAAATGAAGTACAACACATATGCATGCTGTCTGGAAGCTGAACTTTGGGCCAAGGAGCTGTCCAGTAGGCTACATCCATTACAGCTTCAAAAGATGCCAAAGTCTGCACAATTTTTGACTATGGGATTCATTCTCCTCTCACACACAAATCCTTCTTCATGGTCTGTGTCAACATCATCGGTCATGATGCCACACTCACGATCTTCATCATCCTGAGGCACAACCAGAACATAGTCAGATTTTTTTTTTTTTTAGAAATGTAATAAAATGATGTTCTTAGAATGTGAATTAAAACACCTATAATTCATATTAGATTCATGTAAGACAATAATACTTTTTTGCTTTAATAAGTCCTACTTTCAAAAAATGTTTCAATATTTTTTCTTTCACTTTTTCCCCACTGTCTCACACACAAACCATAGATCACCCACTTTCTAACATACTTTCTCACTGTTCTCACAGTTTTGTGTAAAACAGTCATCAGTTTTGGTCCTGTAGTCATTCATATATAAAGTATTTTAAAAATTGTTTTTCAAGCTCTCAGTTTTACAAACTTCCAACAGCTTTGAAAACTTGTTCAATTTTGATAATTGTTCAGAAAAATCTTTCACAAATATGAAAACATTTTTTTTTAAATAAAACCAAAAATTTCAAATGCATTACCATTGATGGAGAAGCAGTGTATCCAGATCCATCTGATGAGGCTCTTGAGAGCAAAAATAGCTTTCCATTGGTTCTAGACATCAACCAGACCTGCCCATGTACACACATACATTCAACGATGTGTTCACATTTAAAAATAAATAAATCAATAAAATGAGAAAGAGAGGAAAGTGTATGAATAGCTGCTGCACCTTGTTATGCTCAGTTAAAATGGCCAGACTGGCATTTCTCTTAGAACAGAAGCTCTCAGCAGCGCGGCAATCGCTGTGGTCACTCCAGAACAAATAAAACACATTGTCATGGAGAAGCCACATTTCTGAAAGATATCAAAGAATAGTAAGTATGAAATATAGAATAGTTTGTTAGTTGACAGAAATAAAATACACACATACACACAAGAAACCCATTTTAACAGTTGCACAACACTGCCAGAGTGAAGAACAATGTATAAACATTAAAGACAGAAATGTAACACACTGGAGTTAATCTAATAATGAAGTATGTGTGAATCAGTTTATATCCAGTAAGTACACTTTTTACACCAATAAGTAAAAATTAAAATGAACCTTTTTGTCCTTTTATTGGTTGTGTTTCTCTTTTGTGAGAGTCTAGGGGGAAAACATGATATTCAGAAATGTGAAATATTTTACTGACACATTTTTTTTCTAGATTATTATTTATTGCCTCAATGAATTTCAAATACTGTGCCATGATACTTACAATTTAGACCCACAATGACAAGGATGATGGCTGAGATAAGAATGTTCACAGCAAACAGTAAAAACACATACTTTCTTTCTGTTAAACAGAGATTATTAGAGATTAATAAAATTGCACTAACTGTAAATTACATTAAAAGTTTTTTTTTTCCATCCATTTATCCATCCTCTGTTGCCTTACCTGAGAGCAGTGCTGTACTGTTAATAATTCCATGGTGTGCAGTAGGTGGGATCTGAAGACTTTGATAAAGATCTTCTGTTCTAACATCATAATTTTTCTGCATCTTCCTCTTCTCTGCATTTCCTTCACTTTCTTCATAATCATTTACAGACACAGAAAAACGCCGCTGCAGCTCCATCACACTCGCAAGCACTTTAGTAATCGCACATGCACATAGTTGTTAGAATCATATATCACACCCTCTGAGGTTGAAAAAAACAGGTGTGATGCTGGTTTTCTTTTCTCTTCTGCACTTTCTTTTCCGTCCATAGTCAGACCATGCTTCCCCACATCCCTTGATGATGGTGTGCTTGCTTGGATATACAAACTGCAGTGCAGTCTCTGACTAGACAGAAACAGGAAGTAGTGGGAAGCATTAACTCGAAAAGGTAACTATAACTTGATGATCATGATAAAATTAATGTTACACAATCTGCAAAATGTCAGATAAAGCAGAAGCGAAATGTGCCATTGGTTTCTAGAATGTGTTCCTTCTCTCCCTATCTTTCAGACTGTATCGGGCAGATCACTATCTGCACTCCCATTGGTAGTCCCTGCTCATTTGCATACACTAGAGAACTGTTTCTCCACTCACTGACATGCATTTGAGCAAACAGTTTTCAGTCAGTTTTCCTGACCGCGGCTGGTGTGAGCATTTTTAAGAACACGTGTCCTCATTCTGGTCATGCTCTGGGCATATTATGGGGACTTCATTTTGCTGGTATGAGTCCTTTCCAAAGTATATCTTTCAAGGTATCTTGGAGGGGAGTCAAATTCATCCTATGGGAACATACTGCTTATTTGGCTACTGACTTAAAATGAATTTCTTAAAATGATTGGTAAATCTTCTTATTTGCAGGAATTGTAGTAAGTCAACAGAAACTGTTTTGTTCTGCGTACGAAAGGGAAAGGGTTCACAGTTGTTGGAAGAATGAAGAGAAATGGGCATAGGAAATCTTACACTTAAAACACTAGCCTACTATGTAATGAATTGAACACATTAATGAGATATTTCAAGAAAAGTAGGTCTATTTAATAGGATGTAGTCAATGTTCCACACTCCAGCCTTGTAGGTGGCGGAAACCTACATACCTTCATAAAACGCCAGAAGAAGAAGAAGAACGCGTGCGACGTCACGTGACGTCCCGGAAGTAAAACAGGTTTAGATGATGTCATGAAAGTTGCGACAGTTGTCTGTTCTTTTCGTTTAAAAAAAAAGATCATTATTCATTTAATTTATTTAGATTACATACTGTATACAATGAGTATACTGTATGTCATTTGACCAACAAGACCAACTCTTTGAATGTTTAGTGTAAGTTTTGGTTAATTTCTGTGCGCTTTTGTTAACTCTGCTTTTGGCGCTCATATTTCACTGTGAAAATGATTTAAAAGCAGTGCATCGTCGGTATATATTAAGACGCGTTCATTAATATACTGCGGCTTAGGTTTAAAATCTCAATATTGTATCTCAGATCCGGAGTCTTGTGTCGCTGAGTTTGCCTTTCAATGGAAAGTGAAAAACACACCGAGTGGAGTTCGGCTTTAGATGAAGACTTAATTCAGTAAGTACAAAAGGTAGAATTTTGAATTGTTTCTACTTAAAATGATTCAGCAACACGACTGTCCCCGTTCTCTTGACAGGGATCCCGTTTCTGCTGTGATTTCTCCGGGTTCTTCTCCATGGAGCCTATCATCCGGGCCCTGGTCCACTGAGAGCAGCGTCCCAGCAGTATTAAATCAATATGCTGAAGCGCAAAATTACAGCAGTTTTATCCCCAGCAATGAAACACAAAGCCAAACCGTACAGGTCTTTAGAACCTTCTAGTGACACATTTCACAAAAGTGATTATTTAAATGTAGTTTTATGTAGTTTGATTGTTGTCTCCAACCGTAGATGGAGGACTGGAATGAGGAAAGATCTACAAACACAAATGAGGACTGGGAATCAGACATGGTAAGTTTTGGTTTTGTGTGTTTGCAGGTGTATGTGTTTGTGTGTAGTGATGATCGTCACAGTGTGGGGACAAAAATCTGTTTACGGTTACATCATGGGGACCAAAAATCAGGTCTCCATAAGGGAAATCCATTTAAATGAATAGAGGAGCTATTCTGAAGTTGCTGGTGAAGTTTTTTTTTTTTACATTGGTCTATTACACATTTATCAGTAGAGGTGTGTGTGTGTAAGGGGTGCTCATTTTTACCCCAAAACAATTCTGGCTCATAATGCAGTCACTTCTTCACACACACAAATATTCCAAATATGTTTGGGTACAACCCACTTCCTAGTCCTCGTTAGCAAGAATTTCAGCAGAAAAATGAAAATGTAAGTGTTAAATTGACACTACATACGGAGAACAAGGAAGAAGATTATTTGCAGGAGATGCCAACTAAGGATCTAAGAACTTTTGCAGAGGATAAAAAGTGAAACACAAGGTAAGCATATATGTATCCAACCAATGAGGTTAATTAGATATAAATAGGTAGCTAGTTAGCACTAATTAACTGTTGTGAGACATGAAATGTTTCTATGTTTTTCCAACTAGCGATCTCACAATCATAATTTTAACTGAAGAGTCTTGTCAAATCTTTAGCCTGAATGGCTGCTAATGGAGTGATTCTGTTAATATTAGTCTGTTTTTTTTTTTTTGTCTAGTTAGCGTTAGTACTGGAAGGGGGCAGGGGTGGGTTATTTTATATAAATACATTTTAACATTTAACTTTTAAAGTTTTAATACATTAATACATACAATACATTAATAATATTTAATACATTAACAAAATTGACAATTGACAAAAACAATGAATTGGTGAGTAGCTTTGAATGACAAAATGATTAAACTTTTAAAATGATGAATGATTAAATGTTATGACAGTGGTTCAGATAAACATGGGTTTGTGTGGTGAGATTGTCCAATAGAGCAGTTGGGATAAGGTTCAAATCAGTAGTTAAATAATTGCCCAAGGCTACCTGGGATTATATGAAAATAATGAGTTGTGTTGATGCCCTCAAGGCTAGCATTGTGTCAGATATTTAAATGAACCTTAGTTCTGCTTTCTTGTGTTTCATCGATGCATTATGATAACATTGTAATTAATGTTACATAACTATGATACAGAACAGTGTTACATTACAAGAGCATTCTTATCTGCTTATTGAACATTCTAGTTTTATTCTTCATGTCCCCCTATTTTCACAGTAGTTCACAGTTTCACACTTTTTTTTTCTTGCAGTCATCAGGAGTCAGCTCCCTTAAGGATGTCATGCATCATATTGTTTCAAAGACTGACAAAACATTCAAATTAGAGGTGAAGTATATCAATGCAGTGAAAGGTAAGGTGGTGTCTGGTGCGATTTATTGGTTAATAACTGTCATATGTGCATTAAATAGGCACCTGGTTGCAGAATATTTTTAATCAGCTACCAACTGTTGATGTCTTTTTTTAGTGTGTGTGTAATTGTTGGTATCCTTTCTGCAAGATGCTTTTTTAAAATTTTGTAGCATTTATTTTCATAGACTAGTTGATGATGTTTTAAATCTATAGGTTTTCCTGTTTTTGTTTTTGTTTTTTTTTGAAAATGTTTTCGATTGTATTTTGCAGGGCATGGTCTATTTGCAAAGGGTTCCATTTGCAAAGGTGAATTTGTTGTTGAATATAGGGGAAATATAATAAATGATGCAGAGTTGCAGAGCAGAAGAAAACGTTACCACACATCCAGTGCTGCATTTATGTTTGAGTTTAAGTGGAGAGGGAAAACATGGAGGTAAGAAGTCAAGTTGCACCAAAGCTATATTTTTATGCTGTATTATAGTAAATGAGGCACTGATTTGTGATGATATATTATAATACATGTATTTATCCTTTTCTTGTTTTCATATTAAGTATCGATGCCTCTAGAGAAGATGGATCGTTTGGGCGGATAGTTAATGATGACCACAAACATCCAAACTGTGAGATGAAGAAAATTGATGTGAATGGAAAGATACACCTTTGTTTGTTTGCCCTGAATGACATTAAAGAAGGAGAAGAAATTACATATGATTATGGAGGAGAAGACTACCCATGGAGAACACAAGTATGTTGCACAGCACACTGTGTTCAGAATAGCTTGTATTGTTGCAACATATTAGTGGTAGTCTTATATTTAGGGCCAGTTTTATCATTCACAGGTTTTAAGATGAAGTTGATTTTATTCGGACGTCATGCAGCATCTACATTATATTTATCTCTTGTGTTTCCCCATTGTCTTTTACAGACGACCAGCATTGCTGCTAATACCAAGGCAGAAGGTGACTCTGATCCTTCCCTCAGGTCACAGACTCCGATCAATGATGCTACTGGTCAAAATAGCTCCCCTCAACAAGTATGTTCACATTTATCACTAAAGATTTAGAAATCCACTCTCTCTCATTGTCATGTTTTAAGTGTTTTTTCAAGCATATTTAACCTTAAGAACAAATGTATATTTTTAAATTTCAAATACCGTAATAATGTAAAGTGTTGTTTATACTTTTGCTTTTTGTTTACAGATTGTGACACAGCTCCGAAATGAAAAAGAGATTTTTGTACCAAGACTGAGACCGACTAAAAGTTTAATAGTAAGTTGAAGTCGCAACAAAAGTCATTTTGTATTGAACAGGGCTTTTGCTTAGAGCTAAAAAATCTCAAATTGATTCTCATCATTAATTACTCAGTGAATGATGTAATATCTAATATTATATAATATAATTATTATTATGTATTCTACTATAAAATATGAATATATTCTTAGGTGATAAATCATTTGGACTTCAAAAGATCAAAGATCATCACTTTCAAGAATTTTGAATCACCTTTATTTAAGCCCAAAAGCATTTAATTGGTTTTTAATTAATGTACCTGAACAATTAATTATCACAGCAGTTACCAATTGATGTCTGTTAAATTACTGATCAATTAATTAACTGTGACATTTCTAATCATTATCTTTTTAGATGAAAGACAAAAATCTTGAAGATTCTGTTGAACTTTTTGATTCTACACCAGAGAGTTCAGATGATTACTTTACAGATACCACTTCTGAAAGTGACTTTGACAGTGATGCTAATCTTATACCAAACCAGACAAAACTTCAGCTTCTTTATGATGAACTGGATGTTGATGATTCTGGCTCACTTAGTTCCCTTGACTGTGACACAGCAACACCAGAAAAAAGGCACAGCCTTGCATCTGAAGCATCTGGAACAGAAGAACCATGTTCAAGTCAGAATGCAATAGATGGCGTAGTTGTTAGTGCGTACCAAAAAAGAGGTGTTAGTAGAGTGTACAACAAGAGACATTACTGCTTGTATTGCTGTAAGCCTTATGCTAAGATGGCAAGGCATCTAGAAAGTTCACATGCAAATGAATCCGATGTGGCTAAAGCGCTAAGCTTTCCAAAGAGTTCCAAGGAGAGAAAAAAACAGCTAGATTATATTCGCAACAGAGGAAACTATGCTCACAATGCTGCTGTTATGGAATCAGGAAAGGGGGAACTAGTGCCATATAAACGGCCATCCAAAGAAGCACAGGGAAAAGATTTCATGCATTGTGCATACTGTCAAGGACTTTTTGCAAGAAAGGTCCTGTGGCGACATATGCGCACTTGTATACTTCAACCTCAATCGGTCCCCCTCAAACCAGGAAAAAAACGTGTTCAGTCGATGTGTATATACACAGGGCCTGTGCCTTCAAACATGACTAAACAACTATGGGAAGTAATTAGTGTCATGAATCTTGACCCAATCACAGATATAATAAAAAAAGACAAAGTAATTATTGATATTGGTCAGCATTTGTTAAACATAGGTGGGCTATCAGCCAAGAATAAACGGTGTGTGCGAGACAAGATGCGAGAATTGGGAAGGTTGGTTCACAATGCTAGGAGAGTCACCTCCTTAAAAACAATGGAAGATTGTGTGAATCCAAAGAAGTACATGGAGACTGTCAAAGCTGTCAAGTATACATGTGGGTATGAATCTGACAAGTTTATGATTCCATCACTTGCAAAGAAGCTTGGGAATTCTCTGCTTCAAGTAAGCAAACTCTTAAAAGCTCAGGGCTTATTGTCAAATGACAAACAGCGAGTGAAGAATGCCAGTGAGTTTCAAGACGTCCATCAGGAAAAGTGGAACGAAATGATCTTAGACACAGCATTGAGGAATATTAGGGAAGCAAAGTGGAATGTGCCCGCTCTCATGCCCTTTACTGAAGATGTCCAAAAAATGCACACATATCTCGGTCAAGTGCAAGATGAGTGGTACAAATCACTCTCTGAAAGTTCCTCTACTAAAGCCTGGATGGAGCTGGCAAAGGTTTGTCTAGCCCAGATAATTCTCTTTAACCGGCGCAGGGGAGGAGAGGTGGCGAGCATGCCATTGTCTGTGTTTTTTTCAAGAGACACTTCTGATCCACATGACGGTGTGGACTGGGCACTGTCCGAAGTAGAAAATAAACTCTGCAGACACTTCTCAAAGATTATCACCATGGGAAAGTGTGGTCAACCAGTTCCAATTCTTCTGACTCCAAAAATGCTGTGTTCCTTAGAACTCCTTGTTAAGCAGAGAGAGCCTTGTGGGGTTCTAAAAGACAATGGTTACATGTTTGCAAGGCCAGAAGCCATGACACATTTCCGAGGGTCAGACTGCCTCCGTGGCTTTGCAAAAGCATGTGGTGCAAAGTGTCCCAAATCACTGACATCTACCAGACTGCGAAAGCATGCTGCAATCCTTTCAACAGTGTTGAATATGACCGAAACGGAGATGGACCAGCTTGCAAACTTTCTTGGACATGATATAAAAATTAATCGTGAATTCTGCCGACTCCCTGAGAAGTCCCTGCAACTCGCCAAGATCTGCAAAGTTCTAATGGCTCTCGAACAAGGAAGATTAGCTGTGTTCCATGGCAAGAACTTGGATGAAATTGTGATAGATCCTGATGGTGTGTTTGTTGATTTTTTTCTCTTTGTTTGTTTGTTCTGTGTTTACCATATATTCCTTTCTGCTAAATCACATTGTTAAGTTGTACTTTGTTTTGCCTCAACAGAAAAAGTTCTGGAAAGTGATGAAGACAGGATAATACAAGAGGGACACTGTTCATCTACTGTTTATGGTTTGTATTACTATCAAACACTTTTCCTGAGCAGGCTTCACAGTTAAAGGGGTCATATGATGCGATTTCAATTTTTCCTTTCTCTTTGCCGCCGCCGCTCACTCTACGGCCACCGTGTGTGACGTTGTGAAAGCGAAACTACCTTTTTTGGTCTTCCAAAAATGGACACGACTAGAAATCAGTGGTTAAGTTGTATTTACAACACTGTCCCAAAACAGTTCAAACCAAATATTCATTAATTTAAACAATTATTATCAATGAATTATTATATTAAATAACATAAATATATCTTAGTGTCTTACTTTTTTTAATTTTTATAATGCATTAGCTTTTTGTCGATCCACTGGTTCACATTTAAAAATATGTAGCAAAAATAGAAGATGGGCTTATTGAAAAAGCAAATTCGTTCTCTGCCTGCAGGTTTCACTTTCGGAACTGCGCATACAGTGGTTTCCCCGGTAAATGGCAATTTAAATAAAATACAGATTTCCAGACATATGGGTATCCCCTTGAACTTGGTAAAAATATAATCTGTTTACCATGTTGACTTGAAAATACTGTTTTCATGGTCAGTTTTTCATTTATTATTTGCTAATGTTAGTGAATGTTTACATTAGAGTGCACGTCCTACTACGCTGAAATTAATAGGGGAGCGGCTGGAAATAGCGATCTCCTGGTTGTAGATAGTATTAACATCATAAACTGAAAGCAATCTTTACGTGACTTGCTTTTCAAATGTTTTAAAATTGATCATCCGAGTCTAATATGATCCAGCGGGCCGTACTAAAAGACACTGCGGGCCGCCAGTTGCCCATCCCCGATGTACAGTATGTGGAAAATAATGTGTGTTTTGAACCTTAAACCGCATAAACACATTTCATTACACCAAATACACAAAATAATGTTCTTTTTAGCAGCATCATATGATCCCTTTAAAAGTAAACTTCATGAGCAATATCAGTCAAGAGAAAATAAAAATAACATGAAGGATTCCCCATTCATTAATTGAATATTATGTGGTTCAATTATACTTGCAATGATGAACAGAAATGCACACTTAATGGTTTATTGCATGTTTATGCACTAATTATATTTTAAAGCCATTAGTACTGCAAATTACATAAGTTTTATGTAAGTGTATTGTGTATACAGTGTATTACAGTGTATTGTCTGCCTTGTATAGTACATGTAAAGTATATCTTCCTGAAAAGATTTAATTGATAATATTTTTATAATTTTCCATAGAACCAATAGCAGAGGAGGCACTTCCTCCTGCTGAGAGGAATGACATGCCACCACCACCCAAAAGACAAAAACCACCATCACCATCACCACCTTCAGGACCCAGTGCTGTGAGGCCTTGTTTTCAAGGTGAACTCTCTACACATTTTTATGTCAGTAATGTTTATGTCTGCTGCTTTTTGAAGATGCACTGTCAGTCTACAAATTAAACTAGAAAGGGCCAAATGTTGCAGTAGCAGGAATAGCCCATTCCAAGAATATTCCCAATTTCCATGCCTCAGGCCAGTGGCCTGATATATAAACATTGCATAGTCACAAAATGATGTTAATTTAACAAATTCTAGAGGAGCACGTTCAGATAATCTACCCAATTAGCATGAGAGGAGACCTATTATATATAGCCAGCTCACCTCTGTCCCTATGGCAGTTTTCCAGTATCTTTCGACCACCCCAACTCCTCAGTCTTGACTATTTCTGTCCCAGCCTGGGATATGGGGGAGTACTCTTGGTTCAGGCCATATTCTCAGCTCAGAGTCCTCTCCTTGGACAGCACATAAAACTTGTGAAATGGCCATTGAACTATGCTAAATATGCAAAGAGTCAATATTTACAATGTTGACCCTTCATGGCCTCTGTAAATCGCTTCTGAATATCAGTTTCTGGGTCAAATCCTGACTGAAGGCTTTGCATTATTGCCTTAGTATATGGAGTTGATCACAATTTGTGGGCTTCTGCTTGTCCACTCGGCTTTTGAGGATTGACCATAGGTTCTCCATTGGATTAAGATCCGGGGAGTTACCTGGCCATGAATCCAGAATTTTAATGTAATGATTTCCAAGCCACTTCATTATCACTCTTGAATTGTGGGAACAAATAGGGGAAATAAGGAAACAAATTAATATGTTGTGGGAACAAATGATTAATTTGCGGCATAGTTACGTTTGCGATCATTTTACTTTAGATGGCGACAATTTTAATTGCAAATGTTGTGATTGTGTTTTAAAATACAGTACTACAATGAGCATCATGATACCATTTGAATCTGTCATGCCGGTGACTATATGCAATCTGGCAGTATGAAGGGTAACGATTAATTGATCATTTAAATTACGATTGATTATGGGATTGACATCCCTTGAACAAAATCTGATTTTAAGGATGAAATCTATGCAAAATTTTATACATGAGGCCCTCAGTCACTAACCCCTGGTTTCACAGACAAGGCTTAAAACTAGTCCTAGACTAAAATGTAAGTCTGTAAATGTAAATATACCAGTGCCTTTGTTTTGTCTCAAAAAGCACACCAGTAATGTTTTTTTCTAAGCACGTTTATAAAAATTACTTAAATGTCCTAATTGAACTATGGCCTAATCCTGGCTTAGTTAAGCCCTGTCTGTGAAACCAGGCCTAAATGCTGATTTTGATCAAGATTACAGTGCTCAGAAACCCATCTGTAGTTGTTAAGGTTACTTGGTTGTTGCTAAAATCTACTAGGTACTTTAAATGGACTAGTAACTTTGGCTGTTTTAATAATTAAATCATCACCAATAACTAACCCCTAGAGCAGTTATTGAGTGAATAGATGCATAGTAAAAACTTACATTACTCGTACTGTAGAAGCAGCTCAACTTCAAGTAACTTTACTGTCATTTGAAATAATATGCTGATCATATAAATACTGTTATAAGATTCATAACTTTGGATCGGAATTCCAGCACACACCCTCATGTATCTTGTTAATTTTTTTTCACCGCTTTAAGGTCAAACTACCCATAAGAAAAATCCCTGGCAGCAGACAGAGGTGCAGGCGGTGGAAAGGCACATGATGCGATTCATCACATCTTTTACTGTACCAGGAAAGAGTGACTGTGAGAAGTGTTTAAAGGCTGAACCAGGAGCTCTAAAGAACCGGGACTGGAAGAATGTGAAATTCTTCATATATAACCGTATTACAGCCTATAAAAAGAGTTTGCAGTGCAAATAATATGAAGATTACCAACTCTCTGGTATGGCAGTTTTCGTTTACAATAGCCTTTTTTCTCTCTTCCATTGAATTTTGAGGTAGGTATCCAAAGAGGTCAAAACTCCAGCATAAATATATACTGCCCTACAAAGGCAAAGTGCAGTAACTACGCAAACACTGAAACGGAGAAAAATGCCTTTAAAGTTTTTACATCAGCCAGTCAAACATATTGTGGGTAGATTAGTGGCAATGCATTCATTTAAAGCCTTAGGATGAAATTTTTTATAGATAAAAACCATGACCACTGATGTGAGCTTTGACCACCAAAATGCAGATACTGCACTCTGCCTTTGGATGACCTTAAACAACTACAACACTATTGCAAAAGCAAAATGCAGTACCTACAAACTAAATCAGATACAAAACTAGTTCATCCAGCTTTCTTGTTGTGTTTCTTGCTACATGTTTATTGTTTTTAATAACTTTAATAGTTTTATTGATGTTTGCATGTTGTGAATGTTAAAATTACTCAGTAGTAAGCCTCAAGATCGTCTTATCGCAGTGCTCCTTTCACCACAAAGAGTGTTTTGCTCTTTTTTTTTTAATTTAAAAAGTAATTAATTACAGACCAAGTAGTTAAAACAGTAGTTAAAAATTCACACAATTTAAACTTTTCCTAACAATATAACTAGGGATGTCATAAAGGAAAATACGGGTTAATTGTGATTCTTTATAGGAAAATAAGGGACAGAATAAGGGATGCTCAAAATATTTGTACTGTACCACATCCTGTGCATCATTTCCATGTCTGCAGTTAAGTATATATAAGGTGTATAAAAGGTTCTCAGAAAAAATCTCACTTGTTTGCTTAACGTATTTATGTACAATTATTCTAAAAGTAATTTTACACACAAACCACTGGCCTGTGAAATTGTGAAAGAAGTCATCCCTCAGGTAGATTGTATGTGTTCTTGCCTAGCTGAGTGCGCGTGTCCAATGGCAGGTAAGGGGACGCCCCTTAACCGAGCGTATATAGCTCCTGCACGCGCTACCTTTCCTCAGTGAGCATATTCGCTTCTCGTGCAGCAAGCGGGGCAAACTTGGTGGATCTCTCCACTCGATGTTTCAGAGAACCGGGGTTACGAACAGTAACCTATTGTTCTCTTTCATCATCTCGTGTTCGAGATCCACCTATGGGAGATATGGACAACTCCCCAGTTGTCCAGTACACTCACAGCGAGGCCCTGTAAGCCAAAGGGCGGTCACCTGGCAAGGCGGTGCTTGACACGTCACCAAGTATCTGACCCCACACAAAGTGAGAATGCAATACCGGCCATGTAAGAAATGACATGTGGTAACATGCATACTAGACCTGACAACAACATAATGCCAAGGCATATATTATAGAAATATACATATGTATATATTGACATATACATGCATATAAATATAATAATGTGTCAGGGGAGGGTACAGATGACCTGCTTAATGAGATGAATGAGCCGGGCTGGACAACCCAGGCTTAAAAAGGTGTAAAGGGCCTAAGGGCACAAGGCTACAAAGAGCCCACACCTAAAACAGAGTAAGCTACCGGAGTGCAGGTAACATCAAGCCGGTAGTATTTGACAAATGTGTGTAGAGAGGCCCAGCTTGCAGCGGCACAAATGTCCTGCAAGGAAACCCCTTTAAACAGAGCTTGCAAGGCCACTATGTCCCTAGTGAATTGCGCTCTGAGGACCACACCATGTAAGAAATGACATGTGGTAACATGCATACTAGACCTGACAACAACATAATGCCAAGGCATATATTATAGAAATATACATATGTATATATTGACATATACATGCATATAAATATAATAATGTGTCAGGGGAGGGTACAGATGACCTGCTTAATGAGATGAATGAGCCGGGCTGGACAACCCAGGCTTAAAAAGGTGTAAAGGGCCTAAGGGCACAAGGCTACAAAGAGCCCACACCTAAAACAGAGTAAGCTACCGGAGTGCAGGTAACATCAAGCCGGTAGTATTTGACAAATGTGTGTAGAGAGGCCCAGCTTGCAGCGGCACAAATGTCCTGCAAGGAAACCCCTTTAAACAGAGCTTGCAAGGCCACTATGTCCCTAGTGAATTGCGCTCTGAGGACCACATGGCCGCACTCCATTTGATTCATATGCCAGAGAGATGGCTTCCACGAGCCAATGAGAGAGGCATTACTTAGAAATGGATTTTCCCCATGTTCAGGGGGCCCATTAGTTGAAGAGCTGATCACTCCTCCTGAAAGGGCTGGTCCTGTCGGCTGGTCCCCGCACAGCAGGACCTAAACCATTTAGCCTCTGATCCTCCGCAGAGGAGGGTGAAAAGCAGAAGCTCAAACACTTTACATGTGAAAGCTGGGAAGCACTCTGGCATAAAGGCCGGGTTAGGCCTTAGTTACTGCAAGAGAATTAGTGCACGAGGGATGAACAGAGAGCCCATGCAAATCACTGACATGTTTGGCGGAAGCCAAGGCCAGGAGCAGAGCTGTCTTGAAAGACAGACGCTTACAGGAGATATCTCCCTAATTCGTTTAAAATATAAAGATACTACTACTAATAATAATTTCCAATCAGTAGCCCATGTACAATGAAGCTAATAGTAGGACACTCTTAAACTGGAATTTACTATTTGTGTATTCAGTTGGGCTTAAAGGAATTATGGTATTTTCATGGAGTGTAGCAGCAGTATCATAGAATTCAGATTGCGTTATTAGCGAACTGTTAATAGCAGTATGCATAGCAAATCAAATTATGCGTTTAGTTGTGGTAGCAGTAGGTAGACCGTAGGTTATATTTACATTTATTCATTTTGCAGATGCTTTTATCCAAAGCGACTTACAATTGCTGAAGTTTCAGTGACTAAAAATGAATGGTATGTGAACTCAAGTGAATAGGCATCATTTGTGTTCGTTTATTTAAAAGGGGCTTATAGCAATTCTAAGTACCTTTGTGCAGCTGTAGCAGCAGTATGCATAGTTATTCAGATCGCAGGTAGCGAATTTAATAGCAGTGTTAGAAATAATATTAGCAGCAGGAAGTCAAATTATTGTTGCTAATATAGCAGCGGCAGCAGAAAGTACTTCAGTTGCTTGAAATTTCAGTGATAACGCATGGGGTAAGTAACTCTTTAAAGTGAAATAGGCATTTTATTTATTTGCTTATTTAACAGGGCAGTAGACTTACAGTAGATTTTGTGCACTCTTCAAAGCGAAATAGGCATTATTTGATTGCGTTTGCTTGTTAATAAAGACACTTATAGCAATTCTAAGTACATTTGTGCAGCAGTATGCATAGCTATTCAGATCGCTAGTTTAGTGAATTTTAATAGCAGCAGCACGCATGGCAAAATTCAGATGCATTTTTAGGTGAAATAGGCATTTTATTAATTTGCTATTCAGTTCAACAGGGTTTATATAACTCTTCAAAGCGAAATAAGCATTAATTGGTTGTGTTAAGGTTATTTAAGGGGCAGTAGCAATTCTAAGTACTTTTGTGCAACAGTATGCATAGCTATTCAGATTGCATGTTAGCAAATTTTATAGCATGCATAGCAAATTCAGATGCAATTTTAGAAATAATATTAGCAGCAGCATGCATGGCAAGTCATATTATTGTTGCTAATATAGCAGCGGCAGCAGAAAGCGCTTTAGTTGCATGAAATTTTAGTGATAACTCATGGAGGGTAAATTAACTCTTTAAAGTGCAATAGGCATTTATTACTTTGCTTATTCAACAGGGCTTGCAGCAGGTTTCGTGCAGCAGCAGTAGATTATGCTTAGTAAATTCTGATTAAATATTACAACCGCAACAGCTCGCACAGTAAATTCCTACTACAACATTGTGAATATCATTAACAGCAACAGCATGTACTTCAACTCGGTATTGAAATGTTAGTGAATATGATCAATAGCAGCAGTAGCAGAAGTTTTGTTGCATTGGCCATATCACACTGCATACATTGCGGACAGCTTTACCTAGTGTAACGGGTCTATTGACTTTATGTTGTGCTGCTCGCGTCTGGCATAGACACCGTGTTAGAATAAAATAGCCATTCGCCTTGCTACTTGTATGCCTAATTAATGGAGCTCAGCAGTTCAGTCTCTTGTGCAGTAGCAGCAGCTTGCATAGGCATTCAGTCATCGAAATTTTTCTCAGCAGCAGCATGCACAGCATTTCTGTTGCGAATTTTAATTTGGACACAATTATTATAAAAGCAGACAACTGCATTTAAATAAAGTCACTGTAGTGTCTTGCTCAAGACCATCTTGGAACGAGCCATCTTCACACTTCTCTAGTAAGTTTCGTCTGTGTGTGTGAAGATGCTGCGAAGCGCAAATCTGTAAATGAATGTTCCGAAGTGAAGTAAACTTCAACGGATTTCCCCTGCTCGGGGTGGAGGGAACAATGAACACTGTGTAGGGATCATATCGATCGGAACACAGTTCATGCACGTAGCTCACTTCTAATGAGCTGGTTATCTATTGGGTGTGTTAACTAAGCGAGACATGCAAAATATGCAGAGCGGGGAGGCACGAGGACTGGAATTGGGACCCGCTGGGCTACATCATGTGTCATTCACCGGTGAGAAAACTTTAAAAGTACTACAGTACCAGGAAGGAAGATCGGGTTGTTGATGTTTGTCTGCCATTCTTGCTCTGTCTGCCCAGCATGCGTGAATGCGCTGATGACACAATCCTGTCTGCACGAACCGGGTGCGCAGAGGTATGCTTATACATACGTTGACAGGCAGGTAGGAAAGCCAATTAAAACGCTCGGACCGAGCGTTTTGATTGGACACTCTCCCCAATCTCTGATGAAATCGGTTGGGTTTTCTCTGTATTAGAGCTGTTTTGAATTTACTGTTTGAACGCATTCGTTTACTGGATCCTTGGACTGAAAAGTTTACAGGAGTTTACCGGTTTTTAAGCTATTGTTTTCGTTGTAATGTACTGATTCAAATTAGTAATCAATAATTAACTATTATTTTACCACTCTGCGCGCATCCCCTTATATGCTCTCACGCATGAAGAAGCAGCATCTCTGTCACTGTCGACAATCGGCATCCTCTCTGACTAGGGTCGGGGACGGAGTGGTCGAGGGCGCAGGCGCAATCATCAAACATATTTCAAAGGAAGCCGGCGCCACGGTCCTGACCGCATCATGATTGCTATCGGGATGTGAAGAGACTTTCAACCAGCATAACAAAAAATGTTTCTGAAGACAGTCACCTATTGCACCTTTAATATGCAATATAAATATTTTAAATGATCAAAATAAATGAGCAGCTGCTTTTGAGGCAGAATTAGTCCTGGGCATGACACATACAAATACAACTCTTGAATGACAAATTTAAAACTATTTGCTCTGGCCGCCCGAGCCTGAGTCAGGTGGTTGCTGGGGGTTACTTCATCTATCAGCCTACAGTGTGATTCCTGTTTGTTAATGACACAGTGCGCATTTCTACCTAGGTACGTTTGAGCTATTGGCTCAGACACACATAGTTATTTAGGTCATTAGTTAAATAAACCTAAGGGTACAGCACCCAGGTTCACATTGTTAAGCCACTAGTTCATTTATCTGGGCTCCATTCCCCCAGAAACACATTTAACTCAGGTCACTAGTTTAAGCTATCTGGTCTTTAAGCTAACTTATCAGGTACACCCACAAATAGTTCACTAGCATTAAGCCATTTGACAAAGCCAGCCCAGGCTCACATAGATAGCAAACACACAGTCTCACAGCTCTCTGGAGCAGCAGCAGTACATATGTCTTGGCAATAGATCTGCTTGTTCTAAGGGGGGTTTTATCTTTTATATTATAGGGATTTTAAGCATATAGATTTTAAGCATATTATTGTATAGCAGCAGCATACATATTTAGTTGTTTTGTTTTCTTCCAGCTTTGTTGGGGGTTATTTTTTATGCTATTTGTGCAGCAGCAGTGTGTCTTAAATACTCGGCACCGTATCGCCATATGCATTGGCAGTAGCAAGTTCCTACTTGCTTGCAGCAGCAGCAATAATCTACAACTACAGCAATAACCAACAGCAGCAGCAATTCAGCAGCAGCGTAGCAGATCTATTCCGCCAAGACCAAATACATTAACATTGTCATATCCATCACCATGCTAAAATCTTCCGAGAGTTGTCATGATTGAACTTGTAGGATATTAAACAACTTTATTGTAAGACCAGGGGCCCGTTCTTCGTACGTCGCTTATTACATCTGAGATTAAATGTCACATCCAAGATGATATCATCGTGCTAATCAGGATCTGGCTAATTCGGTTCTTCGAACGCACCTGTTGTTGATGATTAGTATGGCTGGATTGAGTTATCTGAGATAATTGCGCATTCATGGGTTGGTTTAAAAGGGGCTATGTATCGATACTCGAAACCACGATCAGCAATGCAGCGATTGGCTGGCGGCAAGACAGCAACGTAATGACATCATATAATTAAAAAAAGACACCTGACGAAAAACTTGACAAATTTTATGAGGAAACAGCCAAGCGAACAAAACTACATAAATGTTATAATAGATAAATGAAATGTGCACTGTTTTTATTTTAATTTTTTACATGATTCCCAATCATATTCACGGTTTCTAATATTTGTACAGGCTTTACATTTTTATTTCAATGTAGTAATTAGCAATTCATTTAATTTTATATTTGAACAGATTTGTTAAG